TATGCAACAGGGACCTTACATGCAAGGTGTTCTTCCTACTTCTTAAGTGAGGTCTACTGATGGAATTTTATCATGTAAATCTATGCTAGGATAACTCCTCTTCATTTTAAATGCATAACCTTTGCAAAACATTAGTCATCTCGGGAGATATTGCGCATGCTCGAGCACTATTTCATGTGTGTAGTACGGACTGACCACAACTACATAATATAGCTTGATAAGGGTGAGAGGGGTGGGAGGGTGAGAGGGGTGGGAGACTGAGGACAGGCGGCAGGGAAGGTAGCTGAGTGCGCGGTTGAAGAAGAAACAGACTGAGAGAGGGACAAGGAAGGCACGGGTGCGGACGAGAGGCGATGAAGTACGAGTTTTGCGCCCTACAGGCTAGGGCGCTCTCCTAATCATATACACAGGTTCACAAATACAAATTCATTTCAGAAATCTATGGTGAGATACCCCCTAACCATTTTAAATGCATATTCATTACAAAATATAACTCTTCTGGTGAGATATTGCCCAAGCGCTAACATACTACAGTGGGCAGATTGTGTACTGGCTGGTATATGCAACAGGGACCTTACATGCAAGGTGTTCTTCCTACTTCTTAAGTGAGGTCTACTGATGGAATTTTATCATGTAAATCTATGCTAGGATAACTCCTCTTCATTTTAAATGCATAACCTTTGCAAACCATTAGTCATCTCGGGAGATATTGCGCATGCTCGAGCACTATTTCAAGCGTATATTACGGCCTGACGACAACTGCATATTATAGCATGGGGAGGGTGAGAAGGGTGGGAGAGTGAGAGGGCTGAGAGACTGAAGACAGGCGGCAGGAAAGGTAGCTGAGTGCGCGATTGAAGAAGAAACAGACTGAGAGAGGGACAAGGAAGGCACGGGTGCGGGCGAGAGGGGATGAAGTACGAGTTTTGCGCCCTACAGGCTAGGGGCATTCTCTTAATCATATACACAGGTTCAACAGATACAAATTCATTTCAGAAATCTATGGTGAGATACCCCCTAACCATTTTAAATGCATATTCATTACAAAATATAACTCTTCTGGTGAGATATTGCCCAAGCGCTAACATACTACAGTGGGCAGATTGTGTACTGGCTGGTATATTCAACAGGGACCTTATATGCATGGTGTTCTTCCTACTTGTTAAATGAGGTCTACTGATGAAATTTTATTATGTAAATCTATGCTAGGATAACTCCTCTTCATTTTAAATGCATAATCTTTACAAAACATTAGTCATCTCGGGAGATATTGCGCATGCGCGAGCACTATTTCAGGTGTATATTACGGGCTGACGACAACTGCGTAATATAGCTTGGGGAGGGTGAGAGGGGTGGGAGACTGAGAACAGGCGGCAGGGAAGGCAGCTGAGTGCGCGGTTGAAAAAGAAACAGACTAAGAGAGGGACAAGGAAGGCACGGGTGAGGACGCGGGAGGGGATGAAGTAGGAGTTTTGCACCCTACAGGCTAGGGCGCTCTCCTAATCATAAGCACAGGTTCACAGATACAAATTAATTCCAGAAATCTATGGTGAGATACCCCCTAACCATATTAAATGCATATTCATTACAAAATATAACTCTTCTGGTGAGATATTACCCAAGCGCTAACACACTACAGTGGGCAGATTGTGTACTGGCTGGTATATGCAACAGGGACCTTACATGCAAGGTGTTCTTTCTACTACTTAAATGCGGTCTACTGGTGGAATTTTATCATGTAAATCTATGCTAAGATAACTCCTCTTTATTTTAAATGTATAATCGTTGCAAAACATTAGTCATCTCGGGAGATATTGCGCATGCGCGAGCACTATTTCAAGCGTATATTACGGACTAAAGACAACTGCATAATATAGCATGGGGAGGGTGAGAGGGGTGGGAGACTGAGGACAGGCGGCAGGGAAGGTAGCTGAGTGCGCGGTTGAAGAAGAAACAGACTGAGAGAGGGACAAGGAAGGCACGGGTGAGGACGGGAAGGGAAGAAGTAAGAGTTTGCACCCTACAGGCTAGGGCGCTCTCCTAATCATAAGCACAGGTTCACAGATACAAATTAATTCCAAAAATCTATGGTGAGATACCCCCTAACCATATTAAATGCATATTCATTACAAAATATAACTGTTCCGGTTATATATTACCCAAGCGCTAACACACTACAGTGGGCAGATTGTGTACTGGCTGGTTTATGCAACAGGGACATTATATGCATGGTGTTCTTCCTAGTTCTTAAGTGAAATCTACTGGAAGAATTTTATTATGTAAATCTATGCTAGGATAACTCCTCTTCATTTTAAATGCATAATCTTTGCAAAACATTAGTCATCTCGGAAGATATTGCGCCTGCGCGAGCACTATTTCAAGCGTATATTACGGAGTGAAGACAACTGCGTACTATAGCTTAGGGAAGGTGAGAGGGGTGGGAGACTGAGGACAGGCGGCAGGGAAGGTAGCTGAGTGCGCGGTTGAAGAAGAAACAGACTGAGAGAGGGACAAGGAAGGCACGGGTGAGGACGGGAGTGGATGAAGTAGGAGTTTTGCACCCTACAGGCTAGGGCGCTCTCCTAATCATAAGCACAGTTTCACCGATAAAAATCAATCCCAGAAATCTATGCTGAGATACCCCCTAACCATATTAAATGCATATTCATTACAAAATATAACTCCTTTGGTGAGATATTGCCCAAGCGCTAACACACTAACGTGGGCAGATTGTGTACTGGCTAGTATATACAAACAGGGACCTTATGTGCAAGGTGTTCTTCCTACTTATTAAGTGAGGTCTACTGATGGAATTTTATCATGTAAATCTATGCTAGTGTAGCGGCGGCCTGATTTGTGCGCCCGGAACACGCGTGGCGGCGGCGGAACACGCGCCGCGGATACCCGCACCGCTCCGGCGGCGGCGGAACACGCGCCGCGGATACCCGCACCGCTCCGNCTTATACATACATACACACACACATACACACACACTTATACACACTTATACACACTTATACACACTTATACACACTTATACACACTTATACACACTTATACACACTTATACACACTTATACACACTTATACACACTTATGTAGGGTTGTATGTACGCTTGTAGATAGTAGACGTAGATAGTAGACGTAGATAGTAGACGTAACGGTGATGTAAACGGTAAACAGCTTATAGCTTTATTCTAAACACGAACAGTGACAGTGTACACATACCAACTCCTAGCCGGGGTCTCTCCCCAACTAATTCAAAACCCTCCCTTTTATGCGTCTCTCTCGACCTCGCCCCGTTCCAACGGCCTTTTGTCGAAGGTCGTTGTACCCCGGCCGTGTCCGGCCGTGTCTGGCCGTGTCGTGACCACTTGTCATTAAGGTTTCCCTTTATGACAACTGGTCGCCGAATTCAGGTTGGCCTCGGTCGGTCACGTCTGCTGACAATGCTAGTTCATTTATGGTTCCCCCGAGTATGGGGTTGGTGGTCAGCAGAGCCGTTCCTCGCCCCTTTCGTTAATCACCTATGCGGTGTGTGAAATATCAGTTTCTAGGTATCCCACGGTTCTACATTTCACCCCGCCCTAGAAAAGTCGATTTTTATCGGCTTCAAACCAGTCTCCTGACTGGAGGAACTGATTATTAAAATTTTTTTTACCAAAAAAGACTTTCTGTGCTATCGTCGTGATAGGTTTTGCTTGCAATTGCAACCGTTTAGGTGTATAATCTTACTCTAGTGTTCCTTGTAACCGCCATCGCGTAACATGTCAACTAATACCATACAATTCATTTCAATACAATTCAATACATTTCAATACAATAAAATACAATTTAACACATTTCAATACAATAAAATACAATTCAACTCGATTAGACTCAATGATAATATAATGCCAAATACAATTTTAACTAAATTCCATGCAACGACAATGTAACATAAATACCCGTGTGTAATGCCATCCCGTAATACTCGCGTCGTCCCGTCACCAATCGCGTGATATACTGCGCGTTACAATTTCAAAATTTACGCTTATTCGTACGTCTAACCGTCCCCAATCGCATCCTATATTGTTCGTTGAAACTATAAAAGTTACTATGATATTCATATGTCAAACCGTCACCAATCGCATCATATACTGTTCATTAAAATTTTAAAAATGGGTGTTTAAAATGTAAAAGTACAAACGTTACAGTTCGCGTCCGAAATGTTATCGTTTGCGAATGTTATTTCAACCGCGCGTATCAAACGACTAAATGCATAAAACAAAAAATTCGCGGCAAAGGTTGTACTTCCGTACACAATAATAATATGAGAACCATATGAGAAAATGATAGTGAGAGAAATTTTAGAAAAATAGTTCACGTGGAAAACATTTTATATTTTAATTTGAAATGGAAACGTACCCGTTTGTTTATTTCAGTACTACTGCCAGAACCCGTTAGTCTGCGGGGAAAAGGGAAGAAGGAACAGTTTGCCCTTACCTACTTAATAACCCTGCCTAATGGCGAAGCCATACAAACCAGCGACCAACAAACCAACTTAGAAGCCATCCAAGTAGGCTCCCTGCAACTCGACGTCGTTTGCGTCCGACCTCGGCGAAGGGGTCCCCATGAAGTGGCGGCCGTGGGGTCGGTTGTGGCAACGGTGACAACTATACCAGAGTACACTGCAGCATGCGTTGGTGCAATACCTCGAGACGCCGCACGTTTTCTGGGTATTTGTCGTCTGGGTCGTATGCCCTGAGGTGGATATAGTAGGTCTCTATCAAAGACTCCCCCCGTGAATTCGAAAAATGGGTCAAATCTCTCAGGCATGTAATCAGATACCTCTCTATCAAATAGCTCTGCTCGTCTTAATATAAAAAATACCTCTTTTTCTCACTTCAGAGATATTAATGCCTGGTAGGCAGTGAAACATACCTACATACATACATACATTCATACATTCAGATAGGCTGTGAAACATACCTACATACATACATACATTCATACATTCAGATAGGCTGTGAAACAACCGTGTCGGCTTTCATTATTATAAATTTGTTCCAACATAACAACAACAAACACTTTTGGGAATAAACAGGTAGATGGTGGATGGGCGGGTGAAGGGGTTGGCGGGTAGGTGTTTTGGCGGGTGGGTGTTTCGGGCCCTAAGGGGGGTACATTCCCAGTGGACCTTACACTGTAATGAGAGTAGCCATTTATCTATAACATGGGTGACATTTTAAACCCCTGTATATAAAAATAAACTAGCCACGTAGGTGCCCTCAACGGTTAGAATTGGATGGCGTGCCGAGTTAATTTCGCTGTTTCTACACAATAGCCCCGGGTCCTGCTGCTGACCTCGTTACGTATACGGTACCGTTGTTTCGAAATGCTATCGCTGTTGGCCAACTTTTACTTTCGTGGACCATGCTCAGCTATTCCAGGGGAGTACCATGTCCCCTCTCTTATATTAAAACTGGTGCGTCTAACTAGCACCTCGACTCGTTCTCTTACGACTATATGCGTTGAGTCATCATGGCTTTTATATCAGCCAACCTTGCCTTCTACGGCAAGTAAATGCGTACACCTGGCGCATTCTTAAAGTTCTACACAGATTGGTACTATTCTACGTATTTACGTACGAATTCGGGCATTGTACATCACAGTTTATAAAACTCGTTAAGCCAGGGGGTGGTGGTGGGGTGGTGGTGAGAAGTTATAGGTAGGAAAAGTGCTTTAATTAGTATTTCGCTAACACACTCGTGTATTATAAAACATGTGGTTTGAAAACTAGTTTCCAGTTTAATTACGAAAATTGAGAATAGCCGCCGACACTAGATTGCTTCACTCACCCGTGTAATACGTATTGCAATGTCGTTCATCCATTGCGTTCTCTCTTGCTTGGTCGCCAGCGGTAGACTCCAGCGATATGCAGTTAATATATCGGGTGCTGTGCTCTGTGCTATGTTGTACTAATGCATTGTTCCGTGCGTTATCCGGCGATCTGCAGATTTGCTGAATCTCGGGTGCTGTTCCTCGCTTTGTCGTGAATATATTTCGCTGTTCCTCCCTTCGTGTCGTCGTGATCGTATTCTGCTGTGCTTCGCGTCGTCGATAACCAGGTGGTACAAGATAAGTTCTGGCGTATGTGCGCTTTAGCGGCGACATCATTGTTCGTAGGCATTTTCATACGCAAAGCTCGTATGACGAAAAACGGCAACGCTTCATTCTAACGTCACAATAGTCCAATAGTCATAGGTTTTCGTCTTCTTTCTTCTTCTTCTTCTTCTTCATCATTACAGCTGTCTTCGCTCAGTGTTTCTCTCGACTTTCGTGCATCGCAGTGGTAGCACTTTGCGTTGTGTCGCAAAGGGAGACGAAGATTTTTTTGGTCAAACGGCGCCAAATGTAGGGTTGGATGTACGCTCGTAAACAGTAGGCGTAGATAGTAGACGTAACGGTGATGTAAACGGTAAACAGCTTATAGCTTTATTCTAAACACGAACAGTGACAGTGTACACATACCAACTCCTAGCCGGGGTCTCTCCCCAACTAACTCAAAACCCTCCCTTTTATGCGTCTCTCTCGACCTCGCCTCGTTCCAACGGCCTTTTGTCGAAGGTCGTTGTACCCCGGCCGTGTCCGGCCGTGTCGCGACCACTTGTCATTAAGGTTTCCCTTGATGATAACTGGTCGCCGAATTCAGGTTGGCCTCGGTCGGTCACGTCTGCTGACAATGCTAGTTCATTTATGGTTCCCCCGAGTATGGGGTTGGTGGTCAGCAGAGCCGTTCCTCGCCCCTTTCGTTAATCACCTATGCGGTGTGTGAAATATCAGTTTCTAGGTATCCCACGGTTCTACACTTATACACACTTATACACACTTATACACACACACACATACACACACACACACTTATACACACTTATACTCACTTATACACACAGGCGCGCAAATCCATTTTGAAATGTGGGGGGACACGAGTAGCGAGCACGCGAAGGGGGGGTCTGGGGACAAATTTTGAAATTAGACCCCCTCAGATGCGTTTTCTGCGCGAATAGGGGGGGTCCGGACCGCGAAATTTTTTTCCCCACTTGAGTTCCGGACCCACCATAGATAGTGTTTTGTAATAAATGGTTCTTATATATAGGGTTGGATTATAGTTAGTGTTAGTGTTAGGGTTCGGGTAAGTGTTAGTGTTAGGGTTAGGGTTAGGAGTTATTCATTTTACATTGTTGCTTCGAGGAAGTCGAGTGAATGGAGTGCGCTGATTGGCTGTGGTCTGGAACTCAAGTGGGAAAACAAATTTTGCGTTCGGACCCCCCTCCCCCCCCCGTACACGCCCCTGCACACACACACACACACACACGCACGCACGCACGCACGCACGCACGCACGCACACACACACACACACACACACAAGCAGTTGGTTTGTGATAAGATTACGAAAAGGGTGTCCACATGCAGTCCTATATTATCTTACTCCTGATAAAATCAAGAAAACAAAAAGCAGAAAAACCAATCATTTGGTGTTGAGGCTAATCACAAAATATATTGGTCCGTTATTATTGTTGGTCCAGTCATATCATATATGGCCTATGCTTGTATATATATCATCAATTTGCAATAAAAATTANACTCTACAGGATAGGGCGCTCTCCTAATCATAAGCACAGTTTCACAAATACAAATTAATCTCAGAAATCTATGCTGAGATACCCCCTAACCATATTGAATGCATATGCATTACAAAATATAACTCCTCTGGTGAGATATTGTCCACGCGCTAACACACTAACGTGGGCAGATTGTCTACTGGCTGGTATATGCAACAGGGAACTTATATGCAAGGTGTTCTTCC